GGCCCGGCACCAACGGTCACCAGAGAGGTGATCGTTGGGCAGAATTGACCGGGCCGGGCCGAGCAGGGCAGCCCTGCCCGACCCGGCCAAAACGGTCAAAAAACTGATCATTTTGACCGGGCCGGGCCGGACCATAACGACCAAAACGTGTGTTTTGACCATTTTGCCCATAAAAACGATAAAAAACGGCTAGAATATAAGGGTTTTTTGGTCATTTGCCCATATAAATAGAGGGGGGTTTTTACTTCATCTCCTCACACCAAAACTCATCTACTTCTCTCTAATACTCTCTTATAATCTCTTATATTTTTAAATATTTCCATCAAATGGCTTCTAGATCTGATTATGAAGCGCAAAACCTATCTCCTACCGATCCAGAAATAAGTCCTCCTACAACAACTCTTTCTCCTACCGGTGTTAATCCTGAATCTGATGGCGACGAATCTGCACCAAGAGCTCCTAAAAGGTCGAGATCCGATGTGTGGAATTTTTTTAAGAAGATAGACGTCACCAAGGATAAACACGGTAGGATCATCACCCAGAAGGCTAAATGTACGTTGTGCGACCAGACTTTCCAAGTTCATCAAGTGGCACCAACCACCTCAAACGTCATATAGAAAAACACAACAAAGGCCAGAATCCTCAAGGTGATATCCGACAATTTATAATTTCCTAATCCTCCTCTTCTGGTAGTCTCGGTAGTTAGAATTATGACGCTGTCCGAGCCAGAAAATGCGTAATCAGGTTTATCGTTCTTAAAAACCTTTCTTTTAAATTAGTAGAAGATGATGAATTTGAAGATTTGTTTAGAGATGATTTTTATCCCGCATTTACAAAATTTTCTCGCCAAACCTGTCAACGTGATATTTTAAAATATTATCAGGAGGAACAATGAAAAATAATTTCTTATTTTAAAAATTTAAACTGTAAATTTTCTTTAACTTCTGATATTTGGACATCTAGAGTGCAAACTGGTTGTTTATGTATCACAGCACACTGGATTGATAAAAATTGGTAAATATTTAAAAGAGTTATTTTTTTTATTGTAATTGAAGAGTCACATACTGGTATTAATATTGTAAATTTAATAATTGAAGAACTTATGAAACTAGAAATTGATCAAAGAATATTCTCTTTCACTAGATAATGCAAGTAATAACAATGTAGCTGTTGATTTTATCAAAACAACTCTGTCATTACCATGTCATGGTGGACTTTTTCATGTTAGATGTATCTGTCATATTTTAAATTTAATTGTTTAAAGTGTATTTTCTGAAATTAAACCCATAATAGAAAATATTAGAACAGTTGCTAATATGCATGATGCTTCTGAAATAAGAATTAAAAGATAGAAATAATGTTGTAAAATAAAAAATTATAAGCCTAAACTAATTCCAAAAGATGTTGACCATAGGTGGAATTCCACCTATGCAATGTTAAGTGTAGCAATAGAATATAAAGAAATTATAAATGATTTTATAAATTTTTATGCTTCTAGTTCTAGTTCTGGTAGTACTTATGGAATAACTGAAGATGAATGGATAATTATATATAATTTAAATGAGATGTTACAAGTCTTTTATGATACTATAATGTTATTATCTGGTTGTTATTATCCAACAATTGATTTAGCTGCTTTACTAATTTTAAATATTCAAAAAAAATTTACCAAATATCGTATGGATGATACTTTTGGAGCTATAATTTTTTAAATGGAGAGCAAATTTAATAAGTATTTTAGACATATTCCTCATATTTTTGGTTTGGGGTTCTTATTGATCCATGTTTGAATGATATTGACCTTCAAAGTTTGTTACAATCATTGTATGATGGACAAATTATAGACTTAGATGATGGATCCACCCTTACTGTTACTTCTCATCATTTAGCTATTAGAAATTATTTTCAAACATTATATGATGAGTATGCAACTAGATATGGTGTAGCTGCACAACAGTCTACAGCTTCGGCGCCTTCGAGCACAAACCAAGGTAAAAATGTAAGTTTTGATAGGTATACAATGGTAGCTAAACTAACTGGTGGATCTGAACTTGGATCAGCATTAGATATTTCTGAAATAGATGAATATTTATTTGCTTCCTTAGTTAAATGTCAAGAAAATACTAGATATTTTGCAATGGTGGAGAGTATATGAATCAGTTTTATATCCTATACTTTCCACCATGGTTCGTGACTTACTAACAGTGCATGTTTCGACGGTAGTTTCGGAATCCGTCTTCAGCACAGCAGGACGTTTGATCGACGATCACAAGACATGCTTAGATCCGTTTACTGTACAAGCGGTGATGTGCTTACAAGATTGCTGGAGGTACGAGAAGCGAACGCAAGACATCGGTCAGATGACTATAATTGAAGATAAATTTGAAGATTTGGGACTAGCAGATAGGTATAAAGATTAGATAATATTCATCAAATTATAATTTTTATTTCTTACCTTTAAATTTGTAATGAATTATTTCAGAAAAAGTTACAAATGATAATGATATAGGTGAGCAGGTGCCAACCTAGTTGGGATGTACTCATCTATTGTGATGCGACAAATTCCGAAATAAATTTATACTTGTAAAGGATTTACTGATTATTAATAAAGAAGTTATTTTTATCATCTTTCATTTTTATAATTTTTTGTACTTGTAATTTATGTCATTTCAAGTTATTAAAAAATTTATGTCATTTTCTGTAATTTTTATGTATATTTTATGATTTATGAGGATTATTAAAAAATTTTTAAAAATTAAAAAAAACAAAAAAACCGGGCCGGGCCGGACCCAGCCCGGGCTTCGGTGCCCGGGCCCAGGTCTGGGCTTCGGTTTTGCCCGGCCCGGATGGAAAGCCCTATATATAACTAGCTTAACTATCCTATATAATAATGAATAGGTAAAACTCATTATCACCTCAAGTTGGCATAGAAGTTCAGGAGATCTATAATAGATCGCCTATTGAAACCTTTCCAAGTATCATAATAGAATTGTATAACTTATCAGATCAATGAAACATACCTCTGTAAGGGAGATGATCAAAATTTCATCTTGTGAGGATTTCTTCGATTTCGAATTTTTTATTTGTGATTGAACTGGTTTGATCTGCTCATATATCTTTTGCAATAACTTGAGCTGTTCCTTGCCTTTCTTTAAGTCCTCCTCCTTCATGATCCTTACATCATCCACAAGCTGCTGAACTTGACATTTTATCTGTTCAACATCATTTTGAAAAGCAAAGTTTGGTTGAAAATCTAAGGAAGCCCCTTTCTTTAGTGCAGACAATTCATCCTTATTTGAAAAATCATCATCTCCTAATGAGTTGGTTGGAGCTTCTTCGGGCATTGATTCAGGGATTGTCATCATCTGTTCTACTTCACGACGAGTCTTTGATGATTTACGAAGAATGAATCCATTATCAGCTTTAGGGATTTCAAACATACGTTGAGTGCTGACGTATTGAATATCCCCAGTTGATTCAGTTTCTAGACATGGACATGAACTAAGGCGAGGATTCTTCTTCAGCACTATTAAATTGATTATTTGCTAAAACGGTTTCAAATTCTTTAACAGAAGAAATTTCAGAAGTGCACTGTGTTTGGTGCTCCAAAAGCTGGTTCTTATTGTCACCAAATCCCCTCCATTGTATTGTAGGAGTTAAAGAACCACCTCCATCTTTAATAGCGACCTCAGTACACAGCTGTTTGAATCGGATCGAGGGCATTGAAGTCTGCCTTCTGACCTGAACACAAGAGCTCGTTCTCTCCAAAAAAGAACTAGTTCTTGACCACCGGCTCTCACTTAGTTTCATAATTTCAGCATTATTAACACCACCCCTTACTAACATTTGCATATATGATTGAACTTGATGTTTGAGTGATGCAATCTCTATATCTTTCTGACAAATGACTTGTTCAAGCATTGCCAGAGATTCCTCAGCATGGCTCATCTTTGACTCAGCCATTTGCTTGTACTGGCATGCTTCCATCTTCTCTTCAGCCTTCTCTTTCTGCAGACGAAGTATCATGGTCAGAGCTTCATCTGCTCCAGAGGCTGAAGCTTCTCTTTCGTCATCTAGTTCAGCCTGAAGCCTTTTTATAAATAGAAGCTGGTTGCTAAGCGCTTCTTTCAAAGTGGCGATCTCGTCTTCTGCCATAGTTGTTGAAGAAGTACAACAGTCTTAGGATCTGCATAAGAACCATATGGTAAATAGTTGTTTCAAATGAGCAGAATAGAGTTTGCCAAGTTTCTATAGCTGTTGACATTTCAATTGAAAGTCTGGTGACCACGGGATCAGTTCTTAGGAGTCCATGCAGCACAAGTCAGCAACTAGCTGCTTCTGTCTCACAGAACAAATTGTAAAAATTTTACAATATTTCCTGGGTTAAGTTTAGGGTAAATTTCACAAATGTACCATGAACCTTGGAGGGTTTTGTACAAAACTATCATAGACATTATTTAATAACAAAATTTACAATGAACTTTCAAATTTGCAGAAATATCATGAACTATTGAAAATTGTCCCTAATACGCTAACTATCAGGATAAAAAGCCTTAACTACCCCTGAAAATAGAAGGGGTGTGGGTAATACAGAAGACATAAATACAGAAGAAGAATTGTTCAAAACATGTCAAGCGTGAAGCACGTGACAAACTTATCATGACGTGGTACTTTAGTGAAAAAAGTTTATAATGGTTTTGCGCAAAACTCCCAAAGTCTATGGTAGTTTGTGAACTTCCCTAAATTTACCATCTGAAGGACCTTATGAACGAATATATTACTTCCCCAGAAAATATGAACAAATATATTACATGACAGAGGGAAACGTTAATAAGGATAGTGTAACAAGGTCCTATAAAATGAAGCAAACGGTGCATAAGTTGCATCCGAAATGAAATGGAAACTAATGAAAGCATTAGATGCATAGGCCCTAAAGCATTCTTTACTTATTGACATTTGACCAGACACCTTCACGATACAAAGTTATTGAGCGTAAAATTTATCAAATGTTTCTATCAAGGTGATGAAACGAAACTCCAAATTTGAGAAGGAAAACAAACATGCGATCACTCCCATTTCATGAGGATTGACGTGATACATGTACAAAAGAAAAATATGTTCCATTGTCGTACACGATTACGTCATTCATACTGTCTAGTTACGAGATTTACTGTGTATCAGGTAATGCAACAAACTTCTTGCTGGCATTAGTAACTTTTGATGAAAAATCCAGCTTATAGAAACGGCGACGACGGCAATGAAGTTCAGGAAAAACAAAACTGACAGGCACTTGGGTGCTGTCCGGTCGACCGCGGGGCTTGGCCCGGTCGACCGGAAACGTGCACACTACAGGGTGCATTTTTGGATCTCTGGCCAGTCGACCGCGAGGCTAGGCCCGGTCGACCGTAAACCCTGTAATTGCCAGGCTGAGTTTTCAGCCCTCTGGTCGGTCGACCGCGAGATCAATGACGGTCGACCACGACTCGGGTATGGGCCTGGGCTTGATTTCCTGATCTGTTTGGGATTGATGTTTGATATAAATACAAACACGATTTGTTTAGGGTTTCTATCTCTAAAAAAACACAGAATAGAGACTTTTAAGCTGTGTATTTGGGAGATTTGGTGAGAGATTTGAGAGCTTTGTTTGAGAGATTAATTTGTGAGTTTTGAGAGAGCTTTGTTTGAGAGATTAATTTGTGAGTTTTGAGTGAATTTGTAATCTCTATTTGTACTCTCTCTAATAGTAAAATCCATCCTAATTTGTGAGTTTTGAGTGAATTTGTAATCTCTATTTGTACTCTCTCTAATAGTAAAATCCATCCCCTTCTTGCCTCGTGGACATAAGCAACTTGCCGAACCACGTAAAATCTGTGTCTTGCATTGTTTGGTTCTTGTTTTACCTATTGGTTGTGATTCTATCTCAGTTTGGTTGTGTTTCTCTTTGATTCTATTGCGCACAACAAGTGGTATCAGAGCTTCGAGTTTGGCTTGGGGCTCGTTTTGGAGGATTCTCTACAGGTTTCTAGTTTGAAGAGATCAGGTTATCAACATGGGTGAAACAAGTACATCAGGATCGTCTCTTTCGAAGGCGATACATGGTTTAAGCATCAACAACACTAAAATTGATGTTCAGAAGTTTGATGGCAAGATAAACTTCGGTTTGTGGAGGTGTCAAGTGATGGATACGTTGGATGCCTAATATTTGAAGGAGGCACTTGAATTACAAGAGAAACTCGCTGATATGGAGGAGAAGGTTTGGAAGAAAGTTAACAGTAGAGCATGTGGGATTATTAGGTCATACTTGACGCCGGATTTGATCTATGATGTGATGAACGAGACATCGGTAAAACGATTGTGGGAAACACTCAATGAGAAGTATCCTACGAAGAGTATTGAGAATCAACTTCACTTGAAAAAAAGGTTTTACCAATTCTAGATGAAGATGGGAGTTTCCATTAAAGAGCATGTTAATAACTTCACAAAATTACTATCGGATATGACAAACGTGGATATCATGATAGAGGATGAAGGCAAGGCGATGTTACTATGTTCATTGCCAGAAGAGGATTATGATAATTTCGTTCTCACGATGATCAATGGTAGAACCACTGTCAGCTACAAAGAGGTGACCTCAGCATTGATGAATTCTGAGTTGAGGAAGAGTGATACTGAACCCTCCGAGAAGGTATCAGGAGATGCATTGGCAGTGAGAGGCTATAGTCCAAACCGCCGTCCATTTAACCGCTCAAAGTCGAAGCATAGAGGTGGTCATACAAGTGTTGGTAGGAATCAATGTGCTTTTTACAAAGAAGATGGACATTGGAAGAATGAATGCACAAAGTTAAAAGATCGAGCCGGGAAGAATAAGAAAAAGCTGTACAAGCTTCAGAGGTGAATGTTGACAAAGCTAGTGACGACAATTCACATTCAGATTTTTTGGGCTACTCATGCCCAACATTACTGTCAGTTTGTTATGCCGACTCTACGGAGTGGATATTGGATTTGGATGTTACATACTATATGTCCTAGAAGGGATTGGTTCTCCAGCTTTGAAGAGTTAGAAAGAGGGGATATCGTGCTCATGGATAATGATCATGTATGCCCTATTTGTGGTATTAGAATAGTCTGAATCAAGATGTGTGACAGGGTGATTAGGGAGCTGAAGGAAGTGAGATTCGTTCCTCAATTGATGAAGAATACATTTCACTTGGAACTTTAGAAGCATCAGGTTATAGGAGGATCTTAGAGAATGCAACTTTGAAGGTCACCAAGGGGTCCATGGTGGTGATGAGAGGTGTCAAGGAAAATAATCTTTACTATTTGAAGGTAAAGACAGTAACAGAGGGTCTGACAGCTTCGATTACCATAGAGGAGGATACTACCAGTTTATGACATACGAGATTAGAACACACTGGTAATAAGCAGTGTTTTAAATATCGGCCGCCATGTCCGACATGAGGGCCGATATGACGGTTTTATACTCTAGCCGTCACGATATCCTTCATTTCAATGCGTATTGCGTTTCTGAGGTCATGTCGGGGACATGTCGAAAAATATCGGGTATGTCGGGCGCCATTGCGGCCAAGAAATATCGACCAAATTTCAGAAAAAATGGTTTTAAGCTTATTGGGTCAAGTTTGAAAAACCCGACTCGGAAATCAGGTGTCTACAATTGGTTAGTGATCCTAACATTAATAAGTTATGTACTTTTTCATATTTTTAGACAATATAATTATCAAGTATGTGAAGATTCCATTTATGATATTATATCAACCTATCCGATATGATAATCCGATATTTTTTCATGTCCCCCGATATATCCCCGATTTCCGCTATCCGACATGAATTTTGGCCGACCGACATGAATCCGACATCCGACATTTAAAACATTAGCTATTGTTTTAAATATCCCTAACATGGCCCGATATATCCCCCGATATATTCTTTTACAGGGCTTGCCGCAACCGATATGGTCTTTAAATATCCTTTATCACTTTTTGGCTATTTTGAGTGATAAATCTCCGATATGACCAATATATTAGCCGATATGTGGACCAATATATCTTTTTATATAGCTTGTTGTAAAATAATATACCGTGTTTGGAATTTTTGGGCGAGATATCAAGATTTCCCCATTATATCAAATGATATTTTACCCTAAAAAAGCAGATCGAATATTTAAACGTTGCTTTGCACTTTTGTTTGTTTTAGAAGGTTGATTAGTGATCCTAAACATATATTATTCATATTTTGTATGCTTAAATTTCATTACATATGTCGAGATTACATTTTAATGTATTATACTATGTATGCAAGCATTCATTATGATATTCCAATATTTACCACATATCCCCGATATTTCCCCGATATCCGCAATCCGATATGAATTTTGGTCATCCGATATTTCCCCGATATCCGATATTTAAAACCTTGACCGGAGTGAAATTTGGTCATTGTTTGGAGTTGTTGAACATTCTTCGTTGTTGAGGGCCTTTGGAGGCCATTTGGATGAACTACGTGAGGCTTAATTCCTTGGGCAAGAGGATACGTAGACAGTCGGTTTGATGAAGCCAGTTTGATAAGTTGATACCGACATGATGGAGATTGTTCGCATTCTCATTTGGTTCCCGACTTGTTGTGGATTGAGTCCATTGTCGTGGATTGATTCCACTTCATACTGGACGCAACAAGTTGGATGTTTGGTTGGTAGTGGGGTTGGCTCATTTTTGAGGAAACTTCGTCGATGTGGAGAATTGTAGAAACGGCGCTGACGGCGATGAAGTTCAGGAAAAACGAAGCAGACATGCACTTGAGTGTTGTCCGGTCGACCGTGGGGCTTGGCCTGGTCGACCGGAAACGTGTACATTATAGGGTGCATTTTTGGATCTCTGGCCGATCGACCGTGATGCTAGACCCGGTCGACCGTGATGCTAAGCCCGGTCGACCGTGATGCTAAGCCCGGTCGACCGCAAACCCTGTAATTGCCAGACTGAGTTTTCGGTCCTCTGGTCGGTTGACCGCGAGGTCAATGGCGGTCGACCGCGACTTGGGTATGGGCCTAGGCTTGGTTTCCTGACCTGTTTGGGATTGGTGTTTGATATAAATACAAACACGAATTGTTTAGGGTTTCTATCTCTAAAAAACACAGAAGAGAGACTTTTGAGCTGTGTATTTGAGAGATTTGAGAGCTTTGTTTGAGAGATTAATTTGTGAATTTTGAGTGAATTTGTAATCTCTCTCTCTAATAGTAAAATTCATCCCCTCATTGCCCCGTGGACGTAGGCAACTTGCCGAACCACATAAAATCTATGTCTTGCATTGTTTGGTTCTTGTTTTACCTATTGATTGTGATTCTATCTCAGTTTGGCTGTGTTTCTTTTCGGATTCCGCTGCGCACAACACAGCTTGAGATGTATGATCGAATGCCCCACTCTCGATTTTGCCATCATTTGTTTTGGCTTTGAGCTTCTAATTTAAAGCTACTGTACAAGTGAAGGCTTGGCATATTTAAAGAGGCAGAGAACCTAACTTAATGTAAATATTTCAGTTCAAATTGCACATGAACACAAAAGGCAGGCGCATTGAGATATTAACAGAAGGGAATATAAGCCCCATTCGTTTAAAATTGCCGAGAAGCTTAAACACCTACATTAAACCACATAAGCACACAGCTTGACAAAATGTCAATTTACCACGCACTAGTTTCACCTCGTCAATACTGTATGCAGAAATTTCATAAATTCATTAACTCCCCAAGAACAAAGATAAAATGGCCAAATTCGGGAAAAAATATTCTGTCATGAAAAAGCAATCTTTTAACAAAAAAAATAGTTTTTAATAAGCCAGTAATCAAATCGGGTAGGATTTCGAAACAGGGTAACAAAATAAGGAGATTAAAAAGCCCTGATTTTAGGGGAAAATCCAATTCTGATTGTAGGGAAAATGGCAATTCTAGGCTGAAAACACATGAATTAACGACGACCCGGATCCAAAAAACTAATCAATGGCCTAAAAATCCAATCTTTAGAGGAAACAGCACATACCCAATTGTCGAATCGCCCAAATTTTCAAGATGATCTTTATCCTCTTTTTCTCTTCCTTTCTTTTTCGAAGAATGTGATCAAATTGAATGATTTGATGAAATCTGGGACCTAAAATGAGGAGCGGCTAAAGGAATCCAATGCATCGATCTCCTCCTCTCTGTCTCTCTGCTGTACTCGTGAAGGGACTCCCTCCCTTTTTTATTTTCTTCTTTGCTATTTATGGGATGATGACAGAATCATCTCCCCTTTGATACAT